ATTTGTTTTTGTCCCGGCCGATAAAGCTGCTAATAATATTATTATTGTTTGACGTAAATTTTACATTGAGGTTCTGAAAAAAGAAATCACCAATTCACCAACATTCCAACTGACTCCATTTTCAGAAAACGACATCTGTAACAAACATAAACTTTTAGCTACCGCTTTACAAGCAGAACCAAATACAATGAAAGTCCCAACTATGTATTGGCTTCCGAAGCTACACAAAACACCTTACAAATATAGATTCATTTCGTCTTCAAGCCATTGTTCCACTACTAAATTGTCTATTCTTCTTACCAGTACACTTGGTACAATCAAAAACCTGATAATAAATTGTTCAAATAAGGCCTTCGAAAGTAGTGGAATTAATTACTTTTGGAGTGTCAAGAACTCGTTGGAAGTACTTGATAAACTGCATGCATATATTGGTGATTTTGAATCTGTTCAAAGTTTAGATTTTTCTACCCTATATACCACATTGCCTCACATTCTCATTAAGAAAAAATTCACACACCTAATTAAATGGGCATTTAAAAAGTCAGAATGTGAATATATATGTTCAAACTCTTTTAGGTCATTTTTTAGTAGCAATAAACAAAAAAACTATGTCAATTGGACATGCTTTGATACTATATATGCCCTTGAATTTTTACTAGATAACATTTTTGTTCGCTTTGGAGATTCCGTATATCGTCAGGTTATCGGAATTCCAATGGGGACTAACTGTGCACCACTTATTGCGGACCTTTTTTTGTATTGCTATGAGTTACAATTTATGTCAAAAATCAGTAAAGACCCATCGAAACAACATCTGATACACAAATTTAATAATACTTTTAGATATTTGGATGATATTTTGGCTCTCAATAATGACGACTTCAGTATGTATACTAAAGAAATTTATCCTGTTGAACTTACTTTAAATAAAGCTAATACTAACAATGACCACTGCCCTTTCCTCGATCTTGATATCTATATCATTAACGGAAAGCTTAATACTAAAATATATGATAAAAGAGATGATTTTTCATTTCCTATCGTTAATTATCCATTTTTAGATGGTGACGTTCCCTTGTCACCATCTTACGGTGTTTATATATCTCAACTTGTACGATTCGCTCGTGTATGTAACAATGTTTTAGATTTTAACGAGAGAAATTTATGTATTACTGAAAAATTATTACACCAGGGTTTTCGATATCACAAACTAGTCAAAACATTTACTAAATTTTATCATCGGTATAAGGACATCATTCGTAAATATAGCTCAACATGCAGACTTCTTATACGTTCAGGTATTTCACATCCAATTTTTTATGGAAATATTCTTTATAAAGCACAAAAATGTCAGTATTCACCTCTGAAACTAACAAAACCTTTAAATAGACTTATTAAGAAGGGATATAGTTACGATACTGTTGTCAGGTCATTAAAGATTGCATATTTTGGCGTTAATATTGATTCACTTATAGGGTCTTTGCATCGGCACTAAACACATTTATTTAAAAACCAGTTGTTGGCATGACACGGGTTATGTTCTTCTCATATATGTTATGATGGTATGATACTAAACCCCTAACGGGAAGGATTGTGCCTGATATTCATATGATGAAGACATAATCTTTCAATCAGTTTAATTGAAGTCTGGAGCTGGCATGTCAGTTAACTGCTAGTAGTCTGTTGTTATTTATGTATTATTGTCATTTTGTTTATTTTCTTTGGTTACATCTTCTGACATCAGACTCGGACTTCTCTTGAACTGAATTTTAATGTGCGTATTGTTATGCGTTTACTTTTCTACATTGGCTAGAGGTATAGGGGGAGGGTTGAGATCTCATAAACATGTTTAACCCCGCCGCATTTTTGCGCCTGTCCCAAGTCAGGAGCCTCTAGCCTTTTTTAGTCTTGTATTATTTTTAATTTTAGTTTCTTGTGTACAATTTGGAGTTTAGTATGGCGTTCATTATCACTGAACTAGTATATATATTTGTTTAGGGGCCAGCTGAAGGACGCCTCCGGGTATGGGAATTTCTCGCTGCATTGAAGACCTGTTGGTGGCCTTCTGCTGTTGTCTGTTCTGTGGTCGGGTTGTTGTCTCTTTGACACATTTCCCATTTCCATTCTCAATTTTATTCTGTAATCTTTCTTTACCTTATTTTTTGTTGATGTAATACTTGATCATGAGTATTTGTTTGTCCAGCCTGTTTGTATTGCTTCCTCTGATTATTTGCAATAGAACCATATTGTGTCCTTGTATAAGATGTAAATCATCAATAATGTAAACAGAGCCAGCCTTTAAAGAATATGTGGTATAAAAACCAGAGATCGTTTGTGGTTTAGTTGATGGAGAATTTAATACTATAAAAAATCATAAAAATTCTTTACTTATGGTCCACATTTTATTACTTGAGTTTAAATTGGATAGTTATTTGAATATACCTAATGATTTAATCATAAATCTAATAAACTTCAACCTGCTCTAAAGGAATATATTTATGGATTTCTGAATTACAATATGGCCGTTAAGTCCGAAGTAATATAATAACTCATGAAGCATAAAAGGATAAACTAATTTCAGAATTCCTAAAGGGTCCTGCAAAGTACAATATTGTTTATTGATTTTTTCAAATCATTTTTTACCAATTTTTTTTTTGTAAATTGAAATTGTTTTAGTGTCCCGATAAGTACTTTTCTATTAGAATGTGAAAATACACAAACATGTTTTAAATTAACTTATAGCATGTTTCAAACCTTTTAAGAAGGAACATGGAAAATAATGAATGACCTTTGAAAATTTTTTACATATGCCTAATGGTAAATGTCTGCTGGGATTTTCTATATTCTAGTTATAAATTGAATGTTGCTTCTCGTTCCATGAAGAAGAGTAATAACTTTATTGAATTTCAATTAATTACATTTATCTATAACGAGCAGTGGGTTTTTGACTGACAGATATTGCAGAAAAAGATAGTTAAAATTTCTTTTATTATTTACTATTTATCAGGTTTTATTATGATGTTTGAGTTAAGATAGAATCAATTACATGGCTTCTCATATTGAATTAGACAGCATAGAACATAATTGGAGTTGGAACCAAATTCTGTTTTTGAAACTAGATCTGATTATCTATAAATACCATCTCCAGCAAGAGTTAATTAATAAATTATACAGAGAATTCTTGCAGGGATAATTAGAAATTGCATAGAAGATTGTTTCTTCTCCCAGATAAGTGGAACATTTAACCAATTATAAATTTGTTTTTTAAAAATTTTCTTTTTTTTAACATTTTTTTAATTTCACCTTGTTTGCATGTATGATTTTAGTCCAAATAATTATATATGATGCCTTGTTAAGCTATAAAAAAAGCCTTCAATACATAACATCATAGTTATTTGGACAGCAAAATTTAATTGAAAAATCATAACTACTTCCTCTTACACTCAAATTAAGTATTTCTAACACTCCTTTCCTTTTCAGATTAATATCAGTTTATTTTTATTTGTCTGCTAGAAGAAGTCTTTTGAATAAGTTGTGGTTTTGTTAAATTGACTATTTGTTTTCCTTACCAAAACGAAAATTTTAGATATAAGCATGCATATACTTTTCTGTCTTTCAACAATGGTAAAACGAATTAAAGTCAAAATAGTATAATAAATTTGTTTATAGCATACTGGTACATATACATGTACCATTCTTGTTTTGATGTGAATGCTAAAAAGATGTCAAGTAGAAATGCAAAGATGCCTTCAAAACAGAATTGTGGGAATTAAGTTATTCTTGTGGATTTTGTTTCTTCACATAAAATAAATTTCTTTTTGACCAAATTTAAAAAAATAAAGCATAGTGAGTCAGATTATTGAATACTTTATTTGTGATTCTAAGAGAATGTCTTTGTGACCTGTTTTTTTGGAAATGTAAGAAATGCAATGTTAACAGTAATTTTAAATGGTTTTGGGTAAAAAAAACCAATTTGGCATGTACAAAGTAAAACTCAGGAATGTTAAAGAACATTTTATGATACAACATAAAAGAGGAGATGTTATTGACAGTTCTGTTTACATTTTGTATGTCTTTTAATACTTGCAGTAAGATGTGGATAAGAGTTGAAATCAATTGATCTTTAGTTTATAGTTTTCAGTCATGTGAATGGACATAAAAGCAATGACACTTTAATGCTGCTTGTTTTGGGTTGAAGAATAATAAAAATATCTTATGGTATTTGAAATGTTGACAATAAAACTATTTTGCATGTTGTATTGCTAAATAACACTTTTGCATTAGATTGAACTTGTATTCGAATTCTGTTGAAAACAATGATCTTTTGTTCACAAATCAAGGCTACTTATATTTACAAAATGTTATGCTGTTGTTGCTTTTTTTCTATTTTGAACTGTAGTACAAAGCAAAATTTCAGATTTTGATCAAAACATTTTCAACTCTTTCTTTCACAGAGCTGCACTTAAAGTCTTGACATGTCTTCATGATAGAATAGCTGTCTTTCAATAATTTATTTCTAAGCAACAGTGGGGCTCACAAAGATTTGATTGATTAATTGTTATTTGCTTAATGTCCAGTGGCAAATATTTCATATTTTGGACAAAAACAAATTCAACAATACATTTCAAAAAAAGATACTGCAGAGTGCAATAAGGTTTACTGGAAAAAGGACAGGAAATATTGACTGACATTTGAAGAAGAGGGTATATCTGATAGTGATAGAAATTTGGCATTGCTTCAGGCCAGCTACAAACACTCCAGAGAGTTGCGTACAATGCTTCTTTAACAATACCATACACTCAGTCAATATGAGGTACATATCCATTCCAACAAGAAGGGCTAAATAGGATATTTACAATTATTTTAAATTTGGTAAGCTGTGAGGTATAATGCATTTTCACATCTTTCTCTCACATAGCCTCTTGATGAGAGTATCAGTTCTTTAACTTAGATTGTAATTTGTGTGATTTTAAATTCATTAATCTGTTCTTCATTTCTAGGGATAGACACAAGGATGAAATTTAGTATAGAACCACCACCTGGTGACAGTGCCTTTGAACAGTGGAAAGATGCCATGAAGGCTGTGGCAAGGCTACCTATGGGTATACCAGACAGCTTTCGTAAAAAGGTAGGGAAACAATTCCCAGCAATGATCCTTATGGTGGCATTGTTTTCTATTGAAAAGTATGAATTAAAGCGATGTGTCTGCTGTCAAAAGCTATTAGGAAATTTTGTGATGGTAATTTGCAGTATATTTTAATGTTTAGGTTACTTGCTTACGTGAAGTTCTTAATTTTTGACATAGATGCTGTTTATGGTATAAAGAGACGTCCTGATACAACCATTTTAAATTTTGAAGAGTTAAAAAAACAACTTATTTGCGTAAACCATATATGCATCTTTTAATTTCCAAAGTTAACCATGCTTAATTTTAGCTGATGTGGCATAAAATTTTACCATTGTCCGTCTGTACATCCTTCCATACATCCTAAAATTAGTTTCTGTTCTCTTACTTTAGTTTCCCTCAACCAAATGTTATGAAACTTATGCACAATGCTTATTACCACCAAAAACAGATCAAGTTTGAATGTGGGCGGCGTCACTTTTGCCTTTCTTGAGTTATGTCCCTTTATAAATGATAAAATTGGCAATTTTGTAGTTTCCGTACTCTAACTTTGCCCATGGACACATTCTTCTTTTATTTACAAATCGTAGGATAAAGAAGATATAAAAAAAAAGCTTTCTTGAAAGGTTTTAAATAATGATTTATAGTAAAAAAAAATAATGTCTTAACAGCAATAGTATATATAGTTTATGGAAAATAGTTAATTATATGTGCAAGAATTTTTATGTGGAAAACTTTTATATGCAAGCTATTTATCAAAGTGAGAATGACTTGGAATTATTGAATTGGTCATAGATTGCAACAAGATTACTACGCCTTATTTGTTATTCTATTCCTCAAGGGAATAGTGAAGAACTAATGAAGTATATTTGTGAGACAGAGGTCAAAATAAGTACACAAGACTGAGAAATATAAGGCTACTTCATTTGCTTGTTTAGACAGACTTTACAAATCTACACGTCACGTTTTACTCTTTAACTGTAATTGATTATTCAAGACAAATTGGATTTGGTTTTAATGTCAGAGCTCTTCTTTTCTAAGTTGCTTTCATTTCAAACGGAATATAGATTTATCTTCTGAAGCTTTTCAATAAATTGTACATTACTTTAGCATGCTTAGAAAAGGAATTGAATTTATCGAATTTGACGGAATCCAAATGCAATAAGTTTTGTAAAGAAAATACATAACTTAGTTGATTTGTAGGAAAATAACAGGATAGAACCTATAAGTACTGATAAAATTAGTTATTAAACTGATAAAATTATTAGGACATCTTGGTTAATTACCATTCAAAAAGTGCAATTTAAAAACCTAAAAGTAACAAAGTTTAAAGATTCTTATGCTATTTTTATGCCCCTGCCGTCACCAGAAGGGGGCATTAAGTGCCACCCTTGTCTGTCTGTACGTTGGTTTCCATTCTCTAACTTTAGTTTGCCTCAACCAAATGTTATGAAACTTATACACAATGCTTATTACCACAAAATCAAGTTCGAAATTTGGGTGGCATCACTTTTTACTGTTCTTGAGTTCTGCTCCTTTATAACATTATATGCAAGCGGGGGCATCATCTATGTCCCATGGCCACATTCTCCATATATTTCTCGACCATTTTTGTATGAATTAAAGGATGATGAACATGCACATTCAGGACAAGAACATTTGAGACAGCAACTCAACAACACAAAAAACCAAAGGACATCTACACTATAACATTTGCATCTACATTTATATTAATTTATGATGAAAATAATTTGAATGACATTAACAATGGACTGTAAAAGAGGGATGAAAAATACCAGAGGGACAGTCAAACTCATAGATCCAAAACAAACTGACAATGCCATGTAATATGCTATGGTATTGATTTATTGTTAGTTGGATAAAAGCCCAGCTAGCATGTTACACATATATGTAATCAGCACAACTAAGCAGGCCAGCAAAAACAATGTAACACACATTTCTTAAATAAAGGCAAGTAAAACGAATCACTCTTGATGCTTCTTGCAATGCTTAAAAAATGTCATGTAAACACTACACCATGAATCAATTCTTTGCATAAAAAAGGAAATTTAACTATCAGAAAATTAACATCACCAGTAAATGACGAAATCATTTACCCTAGGCCATATAGCATCCTCAGCTTTCTGTAGCTCAATATTAATTCAGTTTTTGTCCATTAATTTACAGGTATGGTTAAGTTTAGCAGACAATCATATAAGAGAACAGAGAGTTGACTGGCAGAAGACAATGAGATTTGTCTTCAATGAAAAAAGTAATCCAGATGACAATAATTTAGGTCATCAAATTGTCAAGGTTAGTAAAATGTTGTACAGCAGAGACTATCAGTCAAGTAATTTAGTATTTTGTTTCAATTTTGATTGCAACAGAAACTTGTAATAAGGTGATTAAATAAAAAGTTCTTTGTAAAGCATGCAGCTTGATCAAAACTGACTATCTTAATTGTAAAACCGAACTCTTCTATGGGTCTAAATGCCTGAACCCATTCCAAATTAGCAAAGTTTTCAGTGGTAATATTTGCTCAGATGTTTATAATGTTTCCATTATTTATGTAGTGTTGGTGTCATATATTTGATAAACTCTAGCTTTTTCACATGCAACTCTGGGCCATCTCTAAACTTGAATGCTGATTTTTCTATGTCTTTTTTGTTTTTGTCATGTTGTTTTGTTGCAATTTCGTTGATGTATATATCAATAATATTAAATAAGTACCCCCATCTCCTTTTTATATTTATAAGAGCTTAACAAAACTTTGAATGTGCTTGTTCTATGACATTGATTTTGGTTAGTATAAGCTACATGCTAGTAAAGCTCCATATATCAGACACACCAGAGAAATCGGATGGAATATAACTTCTTTTATTTCATATTCAAAACCCTATTTTTTTTTGTCTGTCAAACCTAAAGAATTCTACTAGTTTGAAATTATGAGATTGACTTGATCTCTCTGAAGGTTTGGGCTATTAGATTTTGTTAAAGATCAACATGATACATGAGCTGTTTTTTGAAGCGACTGCTTTCAGAAGACAATATAAGGATTACTATCCACTGTAAACTATTTGTATAAAGCTTGTAGCAGATACCTTATGTTATAAAGTTTCTGTTTGTCATATGTCCATTATCCTTGACCTTATTTTTTTGGTTCAGCGACTGCTTGAAATTAATTATAGTTTTTTTGTCATGTGAATTTCTCACTTATTATGAGTAATAGGATAACTAAATTTGGTAAATGGGTTCCTTGCAACGTCTACATGTCCTTCAGACAGGTTTCACTTGACCTTGACCTCATTTCATAAATCAGTGATCAAGGTTAAAGTAACATGATTAGGTCCGTTTCTCAGATAAGCAGTAGGTCAACTATATGTGGTGTATGAAATGATTGTAGGGATATATGTCAATCTGACAGGTTTCATCTGACCTCGACCTCATTTTCATGGTTCATTGGTCAATGTTAAGTTTTTGTGTTTTGGTCTGTTTTTCAAGTACTTTAAGCAATAGGTCAACTATATTTGGTGTATGGAATGATTGTAAGGTGTGCATGTCTATCTAGCAGGTATCATCTGACCTTGACCTTGTCTCATGGTTTATTGGTCAATGTTAAGCTTTTGTGTTTTGGTCTGTTTTTCAAATACTAATAGCAATGAATCAGCTATATTTGGTGTATGGAACAATTGTAAGGTGTACATGTCTGTTTGACAGGTTTTATCTGACCTTGACCTCATTGTCATGGATATTTAAAAATGTTAAGTTTATATGATACTTTTAGTAAAACCTTCAAGACTTTCAACATAAAATCAATGGTCAGTAAAGCAATCGAGGCATTTTAGCGTGTGCACTCTTGTTTAGAAATTGGAATGACAGATTGAAGAAATTACCTCATGTTTTATTGCTTATATTCTTATCTATGCAAAGCTCAAGCTAATTGTTTCATAAATGTTGTAAACCTTCTCAGTAATCAAATTGTTTTATCTGATTACATGGAATCTTTCTAAAAATCCTTTTATATATCTCAGTTCATATTAAGTTTGTTGTTTTGATTAAGATTTTTACACATCTATGGATCAGTTTTTGATCTAAGGATTGGTTATTGCTAGCAGCTATATTTGACATATCAGGTTTCTACCTTATCCACAGAAATAAATTAAGTGGGTTGAATAGTATGACAGATTCCAATTATAACCAATCTTTAACATCATTCACAGTGACAGTATAATTATACAGATGGGGCGAAAACATGACAATATTTTAGTTCAATTTACCATAATTATCTTTACACTTTGAATTATATTTGTATCCCTTTTTAACACTGATTTACTGAAGCTGATAAATATTCTTGATTTAATTGCACTTTAAAAACATTTTTATTGTGAAAATCTTATTTAGGTATGCTTGATCTATATATAATATTTAAGAAGAAATAAAACCATTTTTCAAAATCATAAAAATCACGTAGAGGGTAATGATCTAGAACCAATAACATGAGAATATAGTTCTACAGGTTCTGATTCCATTATCATCTTGATGAATCACTACCTAAACTGTCTTTGTTGCTTTGTTGCTTTTGATCTTGTGAGTAAAACCTGATTGAGGTGATTTCATAAATCAGTTAACCCATCAATATTCATTTGTCTGACCAAAGGCAGTAATACGATGTTCAGGAACTGTGTAAGTCTTCAATCTATGAACCTTAATGGTTTATCTTTTTCATCAAGCAATAATATGTAGTCTAATATGCCATGTTTGTGCAATAGATTTTGCTCTCTTACAACAGGTATAATGATAGCATTGAAAATTCATTATCAGAGTAAACATTAGTATTGTAATAGGAGGGGTTCGATTGGATAAGGTTTGCAAGGTTCTTATGATACGGCCTCAATGAGTGATGCACTTTAAGCTTGACGAATGCCCAGTGATAGCTCAACTCACTAAACTCAAACCGGTATGCTGTTGATAACTTGTATTCTATATATTTACTCTGTATTTTTAAAGGTGTTCTCTATTCAGACTTCTATTTTTTATCCTGTATGTTTATTTGTCCTCTATCTGGAGCTAAAAGAGACTTAATACTGTTTCAACAATAAACTTTTATTAACAAAATACAACAAGGCAAGCAAATTCAACAAGTGTAAAGTAGTATCAAAAAATGTAGACGAAAAATGTATCAAAAGTAAATGGGGAGTATAATATAGCAAAGTAAACTAATATAAAAAATAGAGAGGTATCAAGGAGCAAATTAGACTACATAAATTTACTCTAAATAAACATGGATCAATCTATAAATTGAGCGTTTAGAACAGACCAGATTAACTTACCAGCAGAGTGGAAAGCTTCACCATATCAGACAGGAAACCCGTCTTTAGACAAATTTAAACATAACCCGGTAATCGCAATATATATATATGCGAAAATTTATAAATTAAGGTATGATAAGAAATTTGGAAGTACAACAACTTATTAATAAATTATAACAACTTACTCCTGAATAACTAAAAGATTTCAATTATAGACGATCTTATTATAAATTTAATGCCAAAGATAAAACTGAACATAGGATAAAGTAATTAGTGAAAAGTTAATTAAACATTTGTCATGGAACATAACCCCGTTTTCCTACATTCCTCCCCCCTAAGACAAATTTTAATTATAAATCAAAAATATTAAAGTCAATCAAAAGGATTAAAAGTTCTTAATTCTCTCTCCTCAACTGCTGCAGCGATTGTGTTTGCCATTCTTCTCCTGTTCTCCTGCGCTTGCCGTCTCATGTCATTTAATATTTGATGTCTCTTGTTCTCGGTTCATGTTAATCAGATTGTTCTCTTAGACACTTCTTACAAAAAAAAAGATTGAATGAATACGAAAAACATGTTAAGTTGATGCTCATAAAATCATGCTCAGAAGAACATATATTAGTCAAGATTTACACAGTAGAAAATATCTAGCATTACTGTGGGATTGAGTGATTACAATCACACACAGTAGTCTTAATTAGATGAGGACATTTCAATGATATTTTTATATGTGTTGTACCGCCCCTTTGAAAAGATTTCTCTACATTTTCATGAGTTTGCATTCATCATTGTATAGCAGAATAAAACAGTTTTAAGCATCTTAACAGAAGACTTTCTACTGAAGACTAACATCGCAAATGTTTTTAAGTAGAAAATTGAAAGAACTACAATTGTAAATTTTGATTTTTAGTACTACAGTATGGAATATAATAACTAGGTCCTTTTCTATTTTCAGCATCTTTCTGAACATAAATATAGCAGAGAAAGTAATGACATTATTTATACCATCCATTAAGACCATATTTTATCGTTAAATCATGTGATAGTTAAAAGAAATAATTTCCCCATCCCATAACGATAAATTAAATCTTGACATTTTTTTGTGATAATTAATATCATAGACTATGGTGTTAGATAAAATCTTGTTAGATTTTTCTAAAGATTTGACAGAACAATACATGGCTGATTATTCTACACGGAAACCTCTAGACAAATTTATCCTAAGGATTGTCGATAATTCCGTCATACTGTTTTTGTGTCGCAGGTGGGAGTAGCTCTATAAATCGTTCATTCATTTATACGATTTCTAGTAGAAATCTATGATGAAGGTTTGTATGGCATAGAGCCTTAAAACCATTTACAATGTTGACAATTGTTTTAATGTCTCATTAAATTAATGTTTTCCTGCAATTCAATATCTTTATGAGAACAACAGTTAAGATCAAACAGTGCAAAAACAGTCAATTATCTTAAAAATGGTTTATGTCACTGTAGGAAAAATATTATTGGCAATTATGAAAAAATGGAAAAATCTAATTGCAAAAAGCAAATTCCTTTTTTTCTAAATACTCTCATGACTACAGTAGATTATGAGTTATACAATAAAACATTCAAGGAAAATACTCAATATTAAACATTATTTTAGGGAAAACAAAACTTTTGAAAAGTCATGGACATTTTTAGATTAGTATTGTATTGCTTAAAGAAGTAAACAGAAAATTCTTATTTTTCAAAAGAATTAGCTTTAGTTATAATTGTGTCACATTTGATGACTTGTTTACGATAGTTTTTTTGTTTTTATTTTTTTTTTACCCAGTTTCTTATGTTTCATGACATACAGTACTCTGATGGTATTAATTTACCTTGCCATAGTGAACCCAAAGCCATACGTACCGGTGTTAATGAATCTTGTAATTGATTAGTTCAGCTTGAGTTGTATTCCATATTTGAGAAGCACAACAGTGTTACACTGTTTTTTTTTCCAAATACTGAATTCATAATGCAGGAATAGTCTCAAATCAACATCAGAACATTACATCAATACAAAATAATAGTAGCACCACTTCCATTAAGATTCAGTACAATAATAGAGTAACAGGAAGGAATGCTGGTGATACACTCAAGCTTTAATATCATGGTCATGCAACATTTTCATTAATTTTAATAAAGTTTTAATATTTTTTTCAGGATTTACACAGAACTGGCTGCAGTGGTTTCAGTGGTCATGAAAATGAAGAAGACAGAGCATCATTGAAGCGTGTCTTACTGGGCTTTGCTCGTTGGAATAAATCCATCGGTTATTGTCAGGGTTTTAATGTTATTGCAGCATTGTTATTAGATGTGACTGAGAGAAGGGAAGATGATGCACTGAAGGTAGGTGTTGGTATGGAAATTTAAAAAGTGACTTGGTCATAATTTGAAATTCAAACATTACAAACTGTAGTCTTGTCTCTATCTACTTTAAGTTTCACAAACATTGAATAGGAGAAAAACAATGTCTACTGTGTTGTCTAATATTGATGCATTTGTGTGGTAGGCAATAAGTTTTTTTTTCTTTTTGCCTTATTATCCGCTTGCATGGTTTTTGGTGTTGCCCATTGTAGAGGGATTTAGATAAACCCTTGATGACTATTTTTGGTGATACTAACAACTACCCTAAATTTCTCTGTATTCATATACTTTATGTCTTTGTACTGTTGCATGAAGTGTATTGATTTACAAGAAATCTTGTCATTATGATTGGTTCCGCATATCCTGCCAAGCTTAATTTTTCCTGTATTCTTGCATTATTAATAATGGAGTCTTTAATTATAGTTAACCTCTGAAATCCCAGACTTATTTTGGATATTATTTCTGATTCTCTTGATATTAGACTTCAATCGTTGAATATTCCAAACTATGGATTTTATCATTACACATTTCTGATTTCTTGGTTTGTTGTAAAAAAAAACACATTTATACTAAGTCTTGGTAAATTTCTGTAATCCTTTTTATAGTTATAACTGTTACAGCATACAAAACATTAAGTCCAATGATTCCTGTGTCTTATCAAAGTCTAGACATGCTTAGCTAATGCAGTAATTCAACTTGTGGTTTATTTTACAGAGATTAATGGCAGTGATAGGTTTATAACTGCCAATATTACATAAATAAACTGCAGAACGTGACAAAAAAAAAACAAACCAACAAATCAACTAAAAAGATACAATTATTAGCCATTAAAGTAAAATTTATGAGCTATTCAAATTAATCAAGTTTGTGTATTTTTCTGACTGGTCATATCAATAATTAATAACCATTTGCTTTGTTCTCTATAACGAATACATAACAACTCTACAGTTGTTTAGGTAAATGTAATGAAGCTGAATGTGGAGTCAAGTAATATGTCCCAATTGTCCCATAAGGAGATTAATTGAAAGTGGTGTTTAACAACTCATAGTGATGCATAAAGGTTCAGAATCATGTTAGTTTTTAGAAAAATGTTCATTAGAAAACTAAATTATTTAAATTTATTGGCAGCATGATATAAAGTATATTGAAATACTTAAAATACAGGATGTAAAAAAAAGAAGAAAAACTTATTCAGAAACTTTATTATATAATGGACTTTGCCATTGTTTTATTTTGAGAGGTATCTATTTTGAATCTGCAACTCCACCTAAACCCTTTATTACAATTTATTGAAACTTTTTTACGATCTTAACCATTTAAGTTTTTTGTGCACCTCCTATTTTATTGTTTTATCAGAATCATTTTTGTGGTCTCTCTCACCAAAGCATTGAGGTTATCATTGCTTTATTTTGGGGGTACCCATTGTGTATCTGTAACTCCTTAACCCCTCAGGACAATTTATTGAAATTTTCTCACAATCTTAACATTTTATTGCTAATGTGCACCTCCTCTTTTAATACTTGGTAACATTTATTTCTGATTGATTACTGAAAACTATTATTTATTAACCTAATTAAATTTGTGTGTATTTTTCAGGTGATGATCTACATCATAGACCATGTTTTGCCTGAGAGTTATTATGTCAACAACCTGCGAGCGTTGTCTGTAGACATGGCAGTGTTCAGAGATCTGCTGAGGATCACCTATCCTAAGTTGTCACGTCATCTTGACATGTTACAGAATGCTGCTCAAGATAATACTACTGGTATAGTTTTGGTCTAATAAACTAATGAAATAGAACGTTTAAAGATGATATGATATAGAGATATACTCTGAATCCCAAATATTTTGGTGAAAAAATAAGGTCATATTCCTTCAAATCATCCCCAGAAAAACTTGTATTCTTATTATTTACCTCTTTAATGATCTTTTTATTTTAACCATATCTTTTTATATTTGTTGAAGACTCTGTATTATATGTAAGAGACCAGATTTTAACCCTTGGCTAGTGAAGATGTAAAACATACAGATAATACAGAATCTTCAACAAAAATAATATAGGATTAAACACATTTTTTCTAGAGGTTATTGATGTGTAAACTGGGGCGATTAACTCACAAACTGAATAAAAGTCCAAAGGACTTTTATGTAAAGTTTGTGAGTCAGCAACCCAGTTTACACATCAATAACCTCTAGAAAAAATGTGTTTAATCCTTATAATTCTTAACTAAAACATTTGCAATTTTTAACTAACAATTTTAGGTACATTGGCTACTATTTATCATCAAATGCACAATTGACATTTCAAAACTAAGGAGTAAGCCGCCATATTGACTTTCTGAAATCCATTAATGTTCGATTAATGTAATAGAATCTAAGATGAAATAACACATACCTCAAAAACCTCATTTATAATGAGATGTTATTTAAATTTGAAGCGTACAAGTAACAGAATGACTTCATCTTGAGAATTTCATTCGTATGACGTCAAGTGTTCCCATGACGTTAATGCGGCAAGCTCATTTATGAAATTTCATGGAATTTTATTTTATTGTAAATTTATACATTTTCCAAGCTTTAATGTATCATTTCTTTTTATTATTTATTAAAATAGAAATAACAGTTATGTATTTGTTTTTTTTTTCAAACTCCATTTGCTTGAACCCCTTGATCCCATGCATCTGTATCGCGCATGAACAGATCACAATGAAGATTACGAAAATAGTATGGCAACATGGTCTATCGAAGTGTAAACCAAGGAAAAAAATGCTTACGGACCAATCAAATTTAAGTATCTGTTGATATGCAAATCATATAAGAATTATAAAAAGATATTATTAAGATAAAAAATAGACTAGATCGTAACCCTTAGCTACCTAAATGTATGTTTTAAATAAGTAATGTTTTCATTATCATAGGGATTTTAGAAGGTTAAGATTTCATAGTGATTTTCTGTTTTATGTATTATAATGACAAGATGAAAAAACAAATTCTGATTTTGGTAAAGACTATTGATTAAGTTTAAGCTTTTTCTTTGGACTGTGATAAGTAGAATTTTTCTCTTTATATACAGTAAAATGTTAGTCTTCCAGAGATTGTGAGTTATAACTTTGGCAATAATTGACTTTTTTATGAAGACAGTGGAAAAAATTTAATGTGAAAATAATATGATATATGTTAATTATACAATGTTTAGCGCTCTAAGATTCAAATAATAACCTTTAAATTTTGTTTTTGTTTGATTAAATGTATTTTACTATATTTGTATTTTTTTGTAGGTGCCTGTTATGAGCCTCCTCTTACCAATGTTTTCACTATGCAATGGTTTTTGACCATGTTTGCTACTTGTCTTCCAAAGGAAATTGTACTCAGGGTGTGGGACTCATTACTGTTAGAAGGATCCAAAATTTTACTTAGAACTGGCCTGGCAATATGGGGCAAACTATCTAGGTAAGTTTGGCAACATGCTGGCAGTGGGTTACCGGTAGTATTACTGTTAGCAACCAATTCTGCAAGACTGAAACCCTTCATTTAATATATATTCATTATATTTAATTGCATACATATAATTGAAACTTTTTAAGGCAAAGTTTATGCATTTCAAATTTTTATGCAATTTTATTTGCATTTAGAACTCTTTGAACTGCACCTGAATATCAAAACAATCAGGCAGTTCTATAATATTTAATAGTGAAAACTTTGCAAAATCGGATTCAAAATAACATCAGTATTTTTTTTAAATCCTTGGAAAAGACATTGAAGAAGGAGATTTTTGTTCATATGCTGTATTTATAACTAAGTTGATTCATGAAGATTACATTGTAAAATTAATTATATAAAATGAACGTATAAGCTAATCAATATGGACACTTCCAATACATACCATAAGTTATTGTTCTAAGAAATGGACAACTAAAGCAAAATGTACAATCAATATTCATCTATATTTTCCATACAAAAGAAAACAATAAACTTCAGTACTGTTTATTATTTCTTAAGCATTTAATTGAGTATGAATCTAGCAGGAAGTGTTTAGTCCATTAATAATTAAATTGTTAAAGCAGCATATATAACACACAAAAGGGTCATGACCTGAAAACTACCACACTTTTTTCACAGTTATTTCACAATTGATATCCATGTAATTTATATGAAATTCTTCCAAAGTAATAAATGTTGTTTCCACACTGACAATTTTAAGGGAGGTAATTGCCTGTGGGTAGAAATTCATATAAACAAGGAATTAATTAAATCTGGAATAATTTGAATTCTGAAAAATTGATAAGAAATGTATGATTAAAACTAACCATGCATGCATGGCTAAGGGGGTTAGTTAGTTCATACTAAAATATCAGTGCAAGTAAAATTAACCTTAGCCATGCACACATGGCTTACCCTATTTAGTTGGGTTAGTTTTCATCATACTTTTCTTATCAATTTTCGAGAATTAAAAATTATTCCAGATTCAAATAATTCCTTGTTCATATATTTTTACTAAACATCAGAAAACCAATGTGAAGGGAAGAGTTTCCACTTGCAACATCAACCTAGTGAGGTCGTATCTAATTTGAAATGTTTTCTTTACAGTTTTCAATTGTTATAAATAACAATTGGTTAAGATCATGCTTTAAATGAACATCTGTTGACAACTGTTATTTATGAAGCCACAGCAGTGCTTTTGACTTTCAGGCAGATTTTTTTTTCAATGCATATATCAATACTTTTCATATAGGAATGAAACTAATTTACTTGTCTCACAGCAAAACAATCTTATAACTCATGCAAAATCTTCTATTATTGCAAAAGATTTTATTTTTCTTGTATTATTTAGAGTTCATTTAATTCTGTTTCCAGGAGGATACTTTCTGCTGGTAGTGCTGATGACTTTTATTCATTGATGGGATCGTTAACTCAGGATATGATGTCTGGTAAAATGATTACTGGTGACTCCCTGATCAAGGTTAGTTTCTTTAAAATTGATGCAATTAAAGAAGTGAATCACCCAGGTGTAAATCTGTACAAGAAGTAAAAACAACAAATTTTGACAGAGGAGTCACTTTTCCCTTGGAGAGCAAATGAATTTAGTGAATGGCAGTTGTTTGTCCTATGTATGGAGGAAAATTGAAGTTATGCCAGGAAAAACAAAATTTGAACTTTGCATTTCATTTACAAGATATAACTGCCTCGGTGGTCTCGTGATAGCATGTTTGCCACCAAAGACTTTATAATTGGTATTTTCTGCTTCTCTGCTAAGCATGTGGCTTTAAGGAGTAAGAACAAAGACTGGTTGGCTTGGAGTCAGAATAATGTGTCCTGTTAAGGTGTTACCTTGTGAACTAGCACTTTAAAAATCTGGCTTAGCGTGTCGGTCTAGTACAAAGCAGGGTTAAAATTCATATTACATTAACATGTTCTCATCCTGAATATGCATATTAATTTGCCGCTGGACGTTAAGCAGCCATCCATCATCCATCATTTACAAGATTCAGTGGAAAGTCTATTTAAATTTGTTTGTTAAGAATAAGTAGTTTTGATATAAGGAAGATAACTCAATTTCGTCATTGTGACTGAAAAATTAGATGGGAAACAACTCTACTTTTATGCAAATTTTTCAACTGTGTTCTTTTTATTTTTCAGAGTATTTACACTACAGCTGCTTTTGATTCTCAGCTATTAATAGAACTTAGGGAGAAATATACTTACAACATTAGACCATTCAGTAGTTCTGCAAATACAAACAACAACAAAAGTAGATCTTTCCTTAGCAACATGCTGTTACCTAGCGATGAAGATGAGATTGATGAAGAAGATTTAGAGGCTATAAACTGTTTCCCTGGATTCTTTCCAGTGCCAGTATCAGGCAGCAAGGCAAAGGGTAAGTAATGATTTGCTTTTTACATCCCTGCTACTTAGTGTACCTAGTAGCCACAGCATATAGTTTAAGCTTTGTTTATCATTCCAACATTTTGTTCTTCCTATTTTCTGGGAAAGCCCATGTGAGCTGTAAGTCTGCCACTGGCCAACAGCAGAGATTTTAGTTTTCATTTAAATCCATTTTAAAATTTTATTTGAATTTTTATTTTTAATGACAGATGAAATGAATTGAAATCAAATCAAACCATGAAGGAATGTTTATTAGAAAGTATTTAATTCCAATATGGCTCCACGGGCCAATTGGTCAAAATGATCTAAATTGAAAAGATATTCTATAGAACCAGTAAACAAATTAAAACTCAGTTATTTAAGTATTGTTTCATTGGTGCCATTTTGAAAATCATAATGGGCACCAAGGAAAATCAAAGTTTACATTGACATCTAATGGGAAATCAGATTTTGAGTTGATATTTTTTTTTAAAAACTGCCACATGCAAAATTTTATTTTTTATTTATTGCAAGGTAATTTTTTTTAATTTAAATTGAATTTCATATCTGTGATATTCTCCCTTTAAATATTTCTTTGTTAAATAAGCTCTTCTTAAAATACTTAAGCCATATAAAATGAATTCATAGATGCTCAGGTCAACCAGCAAGACTAATGTTCATTGCTGTGATTCCACAGCTTAAATGATTGCTGTGCTCTGGCAGGTAAGGGTGAAGGTCAGGCAGTCAGAAATCCCTTTTTAATGGTTCTTTTTTGGTTGATGTTCAAGTTGAACACCTGTTTATCTTAGAATCTATATGTCAAAAGTTCCACACATGCTATGACAGCTCCTAGGTTCCCATAAGATTCATTAGAAAGTAGATTCATTAGAAAGGAACATTTTTTTAAAGTTTTATCTGAAAAAGCACAGCCTTTCTAATCTGAACTCTTTAGAATTGTGTTCTTGTCAAAATTTCCTATGTTGAGTTATTCAGAAAGCTGGCAGAATCAGGTTTTTATTCTGATTTTTTTTCTTCAACCACAATACTAATTGATTTGATTTTTGTGTTGTTGGGTTGCTGTTTCATTGATGTCCCCCACATCTCCTTTTATTGTGGAGGATGCGACATTTATGTTGCGAAAGCAAGACATAGCTATCCTAGATTCCGTTGTGGGCATCGACGGCATCAGCATTAAGGTTCAGTCTGTGGATAAAGTTTTTTTTTAGACATCAATAACTTTATCAAACCTTCATGGAATTTTATGAAATTTAGACAGAAGATTGTTTATGAACAAAGAGAAAGTATCCAGAGCAAAATTTTTAAAATATTTGGTTTTATTTTTCTGTATTTTACTGATAAATGGACTTAGTTTTTTTTACAGTTAACAAGTAGATATAATCTGAGGTTAAAGTTTTTCAGTCATCAATAACTTTGTCACAACTTCATGGAATTTTATGAAATTTGGACAGAAGATTGTTTATGACCAAAACACAGTATCTAGAACAAATTTTGAAAATATTTATTTTCATTTTTCCATATTTTACTGATAAATGGACTTAGTTTTTATACAACCGCAAAAAAATTTTGCGGTCGTATATTGGTATGACGTTGTCCGGCGTCGTCAATTTTAGGAATTAGGGACCAAAAAGGGGCAAAAAACAAGCATTTTTCTAGTTTGATGACAATAACTTGTGTGTAAGTGTATTGATCTTTATGAAATTGTACTACAAGGTTCCAAATCACAAAGGGAAAGCTGGAATTGAGTTTGGGGGTAATTGCCCAAATGTTTAGGAATAAGGGGCCAAAAAGGGGCCAAAAATAAGCCTTTTTCTAGTTTCCAGACAATAACTTGTGTTCGATTGTATGGATCTCTCTGAAATTGTACTGCAAGGTACCATACCACAAAGGGAAGGCTGGGATTGATTTTGGGGGTAATTGCCTCAAAATTTTAGGAATTAGGGGCCAAAAAGGGGAAAAAAACAAGCAGTTTTCTAGTTTCCGGACAATAACTTGTGTGTAAGTGTACTGATCTTTATGAAATTGTACTACAAGGTTCCAAATCACAAAGGGAAAGCTGGAATTGAGTTTGGGGGTAATTGCCCGAATGTTTAGGAATAAGGGGCCAAAAAGGGGCCAAAAATAAGCCTTTTTCTAGTTTCCAGACAATAACTTGTGTTCGATTGTATGGATCTCTCTGAAATTGTACTGCAAGGTACCATACCACAAAGGGAAGGCTGGGATTGATTTTGGGGGTAATTGCCTCAAAATTTTAGGAATTAGGGGCAAAAAAGGGGCAAAAAACAAGCATTTTTCTAGTTTTTTTGACAATAACTTGTGTGTAAGTGTATGGATCTCTCTGAAATTGTACTACAAGGTTCCATATCACAAAGGGAAGGCTGGGATTGAGTTTGGGGGTGTTGAATCATAAGGGGGTTCAAAAAATTTTGGGGAGGGATATTTTTTTCCTTTTTTTTTTCTTTAAAATTTTCCTTTTTAAATTGGTTATTTCTGATTTATATATAAAAGCAAATAATAATGATATGGTTTGAATAGGTAAATTAAAAATTTTTAAGTTCTTAGACCACATTCATTCTGTGTCAGAAACCTATGCTGTGTCAAATATTTAATCACAATCCAAATTCAGTGCTGTATCAAGCTTACATGTTGTGTCCATACTTGGCCTAACTGTTCAGGGTTCGACCTCTGCGGTCGTATCATTCTGTGCTCAGCGGAGCATTTTGTTTACAGTTAACAAGTAGATACAGTCTTGGGTTAAAGTTTAATACACATCAATTACTTTGTCAAACCTTCATAGAATTTTATGAAACTTTGGCAGAAGCTTTTATATGAATAAGAGATAATGTCTGAAGCAAACTTTTGAAAATATTTTTTTTTTCATTTTCAGTATTTTTCTGATTGATGGACTTATTTTTTTACAGTTAACATTTACAAGCAGTCTGGGATTAAACTTTTTTGACATGATAAATTTGTAAACCTTCATGGATTGTCAAGACCATGAAATAGCATCTAAACAAAAAGTTTGAATTTTTTTTTAAATTATGTATTTTACTGATGAATGGACTCACTTTTTTAGTCAACATTATACTTTTACACTCACAGCAGCAATCGTAGGCGAGGCACAGGGTTCTGCGGAACTCCTTACAAATTTTAAATGTTGTAAGTCATACATCAGAAAATCTGACAAAAAATGTTCAGAATGTTGAGCTCTACCAATTGATCATTGACGTCAAAACTATCAGGCGACTTCTTATAGGAGTTATTGCCCTTAAATGACAAATTTTACCATTTTTTTCACATTTGCCTTTTACCTTGAAAACTATGATAGATAGAGAGATACTTTAAGTTGCAAAAATGATCAGCAAGACAAGATCTACAAATAAGTATGCATGGTTGTAATTGTCAGTCGACTCCTTATTAGAGTTATTGACCTTTACTGATGATTTTTACCAATATTTTGCGTTTTTGCCTTATATCTTAAAAATTATAATAGATACAAAGAAACAAGCACAAAATGATCAACAAGACAAGATCTACATTTAAGATAATATGGAGGAAATTTTCCAACAACTCCTTATTGGAGTAATTGCCCTTTAATGATGAATTTCGGATTTACTGTTTCCGAGTTTTGGGGTTTTATTCATTAAAAAAGGTGGGATTTTTCAGTTTTCAGACAATAACTCATTAAAAATTTCACCAATTTGCATGAAACTTTTGTGGATTGTTCATATCTATTGACGTGAGCTCCCTTTCCATTTTTATAAATTTCGGATTTACCGTTTCCGAGTTTTGGGGTTTTATTCATTAAAAAAGGGGGGATTTTCCAGTTTTCAGACAATAACTCAAAAACGATTTTACCAATTTGCAAGAAACTTTGGTGAATTGTTTATTTCTATTGACATGAGCTCCCTTTTGATTTTAATAAATTTCAGACTATACGTTTCTGATTTATGGGCTTTTATTCATTACAAAAAGGGGGATTTTCCAGTTTTCGGACAATAACTCAAAAATGCTTTCAGCATTTTTTTATGAAACTTTGGTAAATTGTTTATATCTATTTTTGTAAGCTCCCTTTTGTTTTTTATAAATTTTCAATTTTATGTTTCCCAGTTATAAGATTTTATTTGTTTATAGTCTGACAATAGATTTACTAAGTATTGCGCAACAGCACAGTGTATTGCACAACAGCAAGAAATCATTCATATAACCAATTTCAAGTTCTTTGACTACATTTATTCAGAAACCTATAATATATCAAATATTTAATAACAATCCAAATTCAGACCTGTATCAAGCTTGAATATTGTGTCCATTTTTGCCCCAACTGTTCAGGGTTGGACCTCTGCGGGCGTATCCAGCTGGGCTCAGTGAAGCAGTTTATTGTGTAATGTAGGAAAATCACTAAAACATTTTGATATCTATTAATTGCTTGTTGAAGTTATTTAAACTGAAAAAAAACCCTTCTTTTGATGTAAAGTACATGTCACAGATATTCAGATTTGATTTTAAAGATATACATGTGTGTCATTGCGAACTTTTGTAAAAATAAAAATAGAATTGTATATTATGATGAAAATACTAGATTTAATCTTTATATTCTTTAGGCGAGATATGGTAATTTTGTCATATTACATTGTTAAGCTGCTGTTATTTGAATTAATGTACTTTCTAAATAAGTGGTTAATTCGCATATCGTGACTCTGTTCCATGAGTGAAACATGCCATTCATAAATTGTGTGTTTGAATACTATATACAAATATAGAAATTGTTTTAAATTTGTGTGTTTATTTTCCAAACAATCTAAGTGGTCAAGTGGTCTAAGTAGTTTATCTAGTCTGTCAACACTGAGGTTGTGAGTTTGAACCCCCCCCCCCCCCCCTCATAGCAAGGTGTGTTCTACTCTAATCTTAATTGACTAGGTTTGCCAGTTTTCCTACTGATGTTCCATTCTCTCCAGGGATTCCAGATGTCTCCATCACTAAAAACTGGTCTCC